CTACCTAGGGTTGCCAACTTTCTAATGGCTGAAAACCGAATACCCTTGTCCTGCCCCCGGCTCCACCTCTTCCCTAGGGCTCCGCCCCCTCCCTCCACCACTCGCTCTCCACCCCCACCCCCACCCCAGGACACACCTGCTGGGTGCAGAGCCAGGCTGGGGGGAACTGACGCGGAGCCTGCCCAATCGGGGCAGGTCAGGGGTCAGTCCCCGTAGCCAGGGGCCGGGCAATCGGGGCATGGTGGAGCAGAAGGGGGGTGGCCAGGATCCTCCCCCCACCCCCGGACGGTGGCACCTACCTCTTGCAGCCCGGTCTGGAAGCCAGCCACTGCTCCCCCTCCAGCATCATCAGCGGAGCAGAGGCTGCTCTTCCCACCCCCCAGTGGCGGGGGCCGGTTACTGCAGCCAACTGGACTTTGAGCCTCCGGTCAGCTCGCTGCCCGGTTCCCGGTTTCGACCGGACACCTGGCAACTGCTATGGAAGGCGCGGCTCCCTGATCGGCCCATAGCGAGGGTCCCTGCGGGTCCGGGTTGGAGCTCACTAGTGGCGTGGGGGGGGAGCAGCTTGCCCTGCCCCTGCCCCAACACTGCGGATAAATAGGGGGCTTCACCATTGTCCCCCCATCACACCATTGTCCCCCCCTATCAATGCAGCAGTTCCCAGGGGCGGGGGTTCCCAGGGTCTTTCCCGTTGCTGACCCCGCCCGCATCCCACCCACAGGTGGCCGATAAATATGGCAGCCCGCGGCACCGTCTGAGATCCCCGCTGCACGCCACCCTGCAGGTCTCCTCTCCCCTCTCCGGCTCCTCCCCCTTCCTCCGCGCCACCGAGTTCTCCTTCGACGCCTCCGTGGTCAGGAGGACACTGGAGGAGGACGAGCAGCCTTCGTCCCCGCTGATCCGCTACCGGCCCCTGACCAACGCTTCCTCCCAAGAGGCCTTGGGATGCCATCCCCACCAGCTCGCCCCCCAAGTCGTGCCACAGCTCGGACAGCTCGCCCATCTACACCCGGAGGGACCGCCGGGCCGAGCGGCACAGTCGAAGGTAATGGCTGCATGGGGGAGCCACCTTTACACAGGAAACCCTTCCACAGCATTACCTGCCCTGCTCCCTACAGCACCCCCTGCTGGGAGAGACTGGGGCCGGAGTAGCTGGCAGCTCTCCCCACAGCCAGCGCTCCTGCCCCTTTCTCTGCAGCAGGGCTGTGCAGTGCCCTAGCTAACAGCGAGGCCCCTCTGGATTGGGTCATGGGCTGCAATGTCCGAGTCCCAGTTGGTACCTGGTGGTACCTGGCAGGGCTGGGGGTCGGGGAGCCCATTTTTACAGAGCTGGGATTGCCTGTGCTTGGGAAGGGAAAACACCTTTGCGCTGAGCTGGAGAACTCCCCACGGCCCAGATCTCCCAGGCTTTCCCTTAAACTGGCCTGGGAGCTCCCTTGGCAGGACTCTGCTGGGGGGCCACTGCCAACTTCCGAGGGATCCCCGGGGCCTATCCCCACCTGCCCAGGGGACATTCTCCCAACGCCTTTGATCTCTCTCTGCCCCAGATGACACAAGCCCATCAGAGCCCGCCAGCCCCACCATTGGGCTTGACAAGAAGACCCGGAGGAAGTTCCTGGATTTGGGGTGAGTCCCACGAACTCTGGAGGGGAAGCCCCTGCTGTCTGGGTAGGACCCACGTTACCATTGGTTCCCCGGCTGCCTATGCTCTGTGTCTTAGAATCATAGAATCATAGAATCTCAGGGTTGGAAGGGACCTCAGGAGGTCATCTAGTCCCACCCCCTGCTCAAAGCAGGACCAATTACCATCTAAATCATCCCAGCGAGGACTTTGTCAAGCCTGATCTTAAAAACCTCTAAGGATGGAGATTCCACCACCTCCCTAGGTAACCCATTCTAGTGCTTCACCACCCTCCTAGTGAAATAGTGTTTCCTAATATCCAACCTAGACCTCCCCCACTGCAACTTGAGACCATTACTCCTTGTTCTGTCATCTGGTACCACTGAGAACAGTCTAGAGCCATCCTCTTTGGAACCCCCTTAGAGGTAGTTGAAAGCAGCTATCAAATCCCCCCTCATTCTTCTCTTCTGCAGACTAAACAATCCCAGTTCCCTCAGCCTCTCCTCATAAGTCATGTGCTCCAGGCCCCTAATCATTTTTGTTGCCCTCCGCTGGACTCTTTCCAATTTTTCCACATTCTTCTTGTAGTGTGGGGCCCAAAACTGGACACAGTACTCCAGATGAGGCCTCACCAATGCCGAATAGAGGGGAATGATCACGTCCCTCGATCTGCTGGCAATGCCCCTACTTATACAGCCCAAAATGCCGTTAGCCTTCTTGGCAACAAGGGCACACTGTTGACTCATATCCAGCTTCTTGTCCACTGTAACCCCTAGGTCCTTTTCTGCAGAACTGCTGCCTAGCCGCTTGGTCCCTAGTCTGTAGCAGTGAATGGGATTCTTCCGTCCTAAGTGCAGGACTCTGCACTTGTCCTTGTT